GTCAATGTCCCTTTTAATAACGGACCCAGAACCAACTGGTCATCTTCGACTCTAATATTTGATTGATATCGATTGTGTACATCGGCCCAGATAACAGCCGGGTACTCGATCAAGTTCTGCTTCAACTATCGTGAAGCCATCAAGCTTCGTACGTTCAGTCCTTGGGTGAAAGCTTGAACAGCCCAATCATCCGTGACCGGTGGTAGATCCATTCGTTCCATTTGGAAATGAGATACGAACTCTCTTAGCATCTCGGTATCGTTTTTCCTTATCTTGAAAAGGTCCGACTTCTTGGTTTTGACCTTTATGGCCCTAGCATGTGCTTTTACGAAAGAATCTGCAAGCATAGCAAAAGAATCGATAGAGTTAGGTGGTAAATTATGATACCATATCATTGCTCCCTTTGACAGGGTTTCTCCGAACTTCTTTAATAATACGGATTTGATCTCGCCGTCTTCTAGATCGTTCCCTTTAATGGCACATGTGTAAGAGGTGACATGCTCGTTGGGGTCGGTCGTTCCATTATATTTAGGAATTTCGGGCATGCGGAACTTCTTAGGGATCGGTTTTGGAGCTGCGCTCGGGGGGAAGGGCTTTTGTACGAATTTTTTGGAATCCAAGCCCTTCAATATTGGTGGTGCCCCCGGGATCTGATCAACCTTGGAGTTATAAGTTTTCACTTTTTTGTCGTTTTCTTCAATCCTCCTTTCTCTTGAATCTATTCGTTTTGTCAGTTCCTCGAGCATCTTAATAATTTCGGGACTAGTCCCCGATTCTTGTTTATTTGACCTCACTACAGCTAGCCCCGTTTTGTGGGTGACTTCTCGGGGTGGACCGGGCTCGGGCCTGCTCGGTGCCTGGGTTTGGCTCTGCAACTGAGCTATCGCTACCTATTGAGCTTGTAACATTTCGAAAATCATACGCATGCTGATCCTGTCTTCTCCAACATTTTGGGTATTTCGAATTGCAGATCGAGTTCCACCGTGAATGCTGTTTTCGGGGTCGCAACATTGGTTCGCCTCAATGGCCACATGTGAATTAATGTCAATTGGATCTACGGCCTGAGTTCCAACTAGGTCAACAAGTGGCCTTTCATCCCCAGGCGTCAGGTTGTTATTCTCATCTTGAAAGCCAGCTTCATTGTCGATAGGAAGGGCCATTAATTGAGAGTTCGTCGTTTTTAAACCTGAAATCAAAGACACTTCCAAGAGCAAGTGTAAAATAGTGTGTTTTAAAGAGATTCGTACCAAATAACCACTATTATCCTTAGCCCTACGGTGGGCGCTAAATTGTTTATCCGAAAAACGGATAAAGTTAAATTTATACGTAGTTCTAAGGATACGTGGTATAACTTGGTACAAATTAAAAAAAATAAGTAAAGATATATCGAATTTTAACTGTAAAAAGAATAAATACAAACCCAAATTGAATAGAGAGTGACTGATAAGAGAACAAGATGAATCAATATCAAAGATCAAAAAGGATAATATTAGCTAGATGTTATGTAAATCTCAGTAAATCTGAATGTGTGAATGCCCCTTTTACAAATGATAACCACTCTTAATATAGTGGGGGAATTCTACTTTGGATATAATAAAAAATATATAATGGGGATCCCATGATAGATTAATTAATAAGCTTTTCCTTGATTCAAGTCGTGATTTTAGCTGAGATTCTCTCCCCAAATACGGCTATAACAGATTTTTTGTTTCTTGGCTTGGTCTCGATCTTGGACGGTCTCGGTGTTGATCGGTATCTGGGTCTCGAGCTCGATCTTGACTCGATCTCGGTATTGATCGGTCCCTGGATCTCGAGCTCGACCTTGGCCGGTTTCGGTATTGATCGGTCTTTGAGGCTCGAACTCGACAATCCAACTTCACATCACAGCTCGATATTATAATGACGAACCTCGGTCCATCATGCCCAAATCTTGATTAGTCACAAGAAGGGAAAACTCGGTTTTGACCGTATACAATACCATTTTTCATATGGTGCACGATTAGATTTAAGTATTTTGTGTCGTGCTTGAGTAGGGATGGCAATGTGGCGGTACGGTGCGGTGCGGTGCGAATTTGAGAT